CTGCCACTATGCCGAGACCTCCCCCCCCCAGACCCCACCCCCGCATGCCGGCAGATGCTCAGCCCTTCTGGAAGTGGTGTCCATGGGACTTCCTCCCTCTTGGGTGACCAGGTTTGGCGGCTGCTCCTCGGAGGAGCTTCTTCCTTGTCCACCCGCCGTTCTCCGTGGGGCCATTAAGGGGTCATTAGCCGTGGTCTTTCTGGAAGGGGTGCTCCTGACCAGGAAAGGGCGGCTGGATCCACAGGGGAGAGATTTCACCTCCGGCCTCCCCACCCCGGTGGAGGGAGGGATTTTCTCTAGGTGCCCAGACGGCCTCCTGGATCCTTCTTGGACCCCTCTTGGACCCCTCTTGGACCCCTGTCCCTCAAACCCCCTCTGTTTGGGGCCCAAAATGAGGACATCCATCCAGGCCCTCCAAGGACTGTCCTTTATCCTTCACGTGCGGGAACCCTGCGGAGAGGAGGGGGCCCCTGAGCCGTGTCCCCCTCCTGGGGTGGTGGGTTTGAAGCCTCCCGCCTTCTCCGCAGCTGACCCCCCCCACCCCTCTTTCCCTCCCTGTTTTCATCCCTGCTCATCTCAAGGAACAGGAGAGAAAACCCAGGGCTCTTATCGCTCCTGGCAGCTGCTCTGTCACATTCCAGGACTCGGTCACAGGGGTGGGGTGGGGGGATGAAACCAGCATCACACACGCAGACACACAGACACACACCCCGGCCATCAGGCCCAAGCAGAGCTGCCTTTTTTTAAAGGATCTGGTGTTGCTCTACGTGCTGGCCTAACCCTGCCAATCTTAAAAGAGGAGTTTCTTCCACCTCCTGTCTCTGCCCAAATCCCTGTTTCCAGCCGAGCTCCGGCCGAAGGGGCGCTGGGGCCTCCTGGGGGGGGGGGCGCAAATCCTCAATGTTTGCTCCAGACCCTCTTCAGACACCGGTCAGCGTCTGAGCCTTGTGGCCCCAAATGGGAAGTCATGGAAGGTTGTAAATACGAACCACCAAGACCGAAGGGAAAAAAGGAACACTTTGTGGATGGCAGCTGGCACAGGCAGAAACCAACCCTCCTGAGCCGCTGGTGGTGGAAATCTTCATTCTGGGGGTCTCCATTAAAGCCCTCTTTTTGGTGGGGGGCGGCGGAGGGTTTTGCTTCGTGCCAGGCTCGTCACCACTGGGGATTCCTGCTGCTCTTCCGCGCCCTGAGCGGTTCCCATGTCGGCTGCGGAGAAAGCGGGAGGCTTGGCCGCCTTTTGCCACCCAAATGGTGGGGAAGGAATTCAGGCCCATGCCGTGGCTTCACTCCCGAGCCTGGCCAGCCAGCAAGGCAGAGGGAGAGGCAGGCCTGAGGCTTCCCAGGGCCAGAGCTCAGTGGGGATTCGAACTCGGGTCCTTCCGACACTGCGAAGCCATCTTCTTGCCCCACGGAGGGGTCCCCGCTGTGCCACTGGGGTTTCATTGGAGCCCCTGGCTGCCTCGCTCCTCTTTTGGGGGGTTCTCCCAGTTGTGCCCCCCTTTGCCTCCCCGGCCAGCTTTCCTGACCCGCACCGTCTTTTCGGGTTTACACCACTCTGGGCTTGGTCCTTTC